ACAACGGTGGTGAACCACTAACATAAACATTTTTAGCTTAACTGAGGTGGTTAAAGTGAATATTTTTGTAGTGTTAAGAGCATTACTTGTATAATTTTATAAACATATATTTAATAAAAAAGTAAGGAAAATAAACGAACACCCTGATGGTAATTGGACGATGTAAACCCTAAGCCCAAAATGCAGATGCACTTTTAGGCCCGATAACTTAGAAATGCCACGTCTAAGTCAGTAAAAGGACTCCAGTCCTCTTCACTAACCGTATACACATAGCGTCCGACATTGGTGTCGGTTTCGGTTTTTGCCGAGTTATCGGTAATTCGCACACGTCTCTGTGTTAATACAACCACGGTTCGTGCTATCGTAAATTGATTGAACATGAAACGCTTACGGCTAATAACCTGTTACATGTTACTTGTTACTTATATACAAATAAATAAATTTAAAAAAGAGGAGCATTATTAAACTTTTTTTTTATAATTACTGAAGTGACAAACGAACTAACAGTCAGCCTGCTGGTAAGTGGCTACTATAGTCTATAGACACCCGCAGCTAACTTTATACGTGGTAGAGCCAAGCTGCAGCTATATTAGTAGTATAGTTATAGCACGGATGACTCGGTTCGACCGGGGAAGGACCACGCTTTCACAGAATACCGGCGTAAAATAGCAGCTTAAGGCTACTGTGTTTCGTATGATGAGTGTAGAGAACCGGAGATACTGAAAAAGAGACATTCCATCTTAGTCCTCGCGGGTGACAACGCATCTGCATTTTGATTCACAAACTTGGATAGATGTAGATGTCTGTGGGCCACTGCAACTACTTACCATCAGGTGGAATGTGTGCTCGTTTGTCACATTGGTTCTATAAAAAATGCTGCAGTAAGGACTTTCTCGAAATTTACTAAATAAATAATAAATAAATGCTTTACGCAAGCAAGCTACAAGGTCGTTTCCAATGAAAGGGGTCTCCAGTTCTCTACACTCACCATACGAAACACAACAGCATTAAGTAACTATTTTACACTATGCTACTCTTGAAGCGTGATCCTGCCCGCTCGAGCTGACCGATTCACACTACAACTATTATGTAGCTGCAGCGTGTCTCTGAATTAAATTTGATAAAATAAACAGCAGTCATGAATTGCTCCTGCGTTCTCTCATAAGGTTTTAGAAATTTAGAAATTTCCCATATCCTTAAATATTTATTTTGACTTGTAGAAAACTCACAAGGATTTTCTTCACCGTCGAGCATTTGCCATCATCATCTAGTTAACAGCACTCGAACTTGGTTGAATAGTGTCAAATGAAAACGAAAGCACTCCTCAGCTTAATTACTAAGATTTTATGTGTAGGCCCTAGCACTCAAAATTTTGGTTTGAGTCTCAATTTGGATTGGAACAAACGTAATAACGCACTAGAAACTTCGAAAGATTACTGGTTTCAAAAAAAAACTTTATACCATTTTCTGTTATTGATGAATGATGTATGAATGAGAATTTATTACTAGAACGATTTCGCGTAGCACGCTGTGTCTGTTCCAAGAAAATCTACTGACTAATTAAAACAGTAAAACCGTCGGATTTTTTTCAGCCGCTGCAATTTTTTTATGACTCAGTAATTTATTAATCTATGATATTAGAACCCTTCAGTTCATCTCTCATATCAAATTCAATATTTATGTCACGCTCTGACGAATAAGCAATAATTTTCCCTTCAGTCCCTTTTATTAAGAAACGAGAGGGGGGGGGGGGGGCTCACAGCAACATACCAAACTGTCACCGTAATGGGATGAAGGGTATAAATGTTGTACGTGGAAGAGCCACGCTACAGATATTTATGATTGTAGCACGCATGGGTCAACTCAAACAGGGTAGGACCACGCTCTCACAGAATACCAGCGTAAAATAGTAGCTTAATACCGCTGTGTTTCGTATGGTAATAACTGGAGACCCTTTTTACTGGAAACAAGGCATTCCATCTTTGTCCTCAGGCATGACAGTGCATCTGCTTTTTTATTCTTAATTTCGGATAAATGTAGATTTCTATGGGCCACAGCTTCCACTTACCATCAGATGGACTATGTGCTCGTATGTAACCTTAAAAAAGACGCACAGAAAACGAACAAAGAAATACCTATTAATTATTTTTCTCAGAAAACTTCACGGGTGCGCACGCATCATATCAACAAAGTACCATCGTAATTGGTTGTATGGTATAGGAACGCATAGGAACAAACAAAAAAACATGTAGTAGGTAAAAAAAACATGTTGAAGGTTTACAGCTGAAATTTCATTTCATTTCAATTCAAACATAAATGCGCGAACACGTAGATATAGCAATGAACTCTTATTGTCTGACGAAGACGACATAGCATAGTTTCTCTAAGCCTCAGGAAAAAAGAAACTTAGACAGAGCTTACATTTCAAATAACGCAAAAACCTTACTCAACTTCTTGTCACGCACCCACGCACATATCTTTCTTTTTTCTTGCTTTACTTGGTTTTGGATCCTTATGTGTAGGTAAGTACGTGTTCTTACAATGAATTGAGCATGATTTACGCTTGATTTTTGCGTCACTTTAAATGAACGCTGTGCTCAGTCTTACTTTCTTTGATGGACTGAGATCTAAGAATAGCACACTTGACTTAATGCTTTTTTATATTTACGCGAACACTACACATTTAAATAAAAATAATTTTACGGATTTTATTGCGTATATTAACTTATTTTATATTCCCGATGTTTCGAGCACTTTACCCGTAGCCCCGTCATTACATTAGATTTGAGAGACCACAAATCCTCGCTAAAGAACACCGATTCCTTCCAAGGATGATTCGCGAGGCTATTGAAATCAAAAAAAAACATCCTAATTTCAATAGAGAAGATGGCTGGGTGCTACCATCTGCTTGAGATCCCATAATTAATAAAATTAAATCCCAACCCAAGCATACAACTGCAAGACTTCATGATACTGTAAGTTCATACTGCGTAGATCGGAACAAAAATTTATAATTTTTAATCTGGAGGTAGCCGTGGTTAACTATGACATTGGGACGTCATACAGTCGACTTATTCATAGGATGATAGATTAATCGAACGATGACTCGCAGTCTTAGTCAATAACTGGTGGGTATAGAACTTTATAGCAATAAAATTAAAAAGTAAAGTAACAACCAATATGTATATGTCCCACAGCTGGATAAAGCCCTCCTCTCATTCTTGATACAGAGTGCGTGTTGGCGGACTTCACATGTTCTAAGAATATGCCTAGGAATCCACCTGGACAGGTACCCCCTTACCAATTACTTTCACCAACTAGCAATATTGCACTTGTGTTACAGTCTGAATGCTATATAAAAACAGTATAATTACAGAATGCCAGGCATTCCATATTAGTCCTCCGGAGTGACCGTGCATCTATGAGCTTCTTAATATGAAGTTGGTTGTAGGACTGCAGTAGCTACTTACCATCAGGTACACTCTAAGTTCGTTAGCCCCTTCAACTTTTATACAAAAAAATTATTCCTCAATATATTTTTCCTCTACCGACGAGCACTTATCAATACTTAAAATTAAGTTTTTTTTTTTATAGAATTTGCGTGACAAATGAGCACATAGTCCACCTGATGGTAACTGCTTGCTGTGGCCCATAGACATCTACATCTATCTTCGTTTGCGAATTAAAATGCAGATGAGTTGTCAGCCGTGAGGACTAAGATAGAATGCCTCTTTTCCAGTAAAATGGGTCTCTGGTTCTCTACACTCATCATACGAAACACAGCAGCATTAAGCTGCTATTTTACGCTGGTATTCTGTGAGAGCGTGGTCCTTCCCCGGTCGAGCCGACCCATTCGTCCTACAACTATACTATTAATATAGCTGCAGCACTACCATGTAAAGTACCGCTGAGGATTTAACTTGGTTTAAACTTATGAAATATATTAATGAAATTAACAAGAATTATTTACTTTCTCTATGAAAGTTATTAGAAGAAATATATATTCAACGATTTAATTAGGTTAACGGGTAACAATAAACAGGCTTAACGCTCTTATTATCTTAAATACAACCGCGTAATATCAACCTACATTTCATTCTTATAATGGCGGAGGAGAAATTTATAATGGTAGAATTATTTAAACGTAGACTCCAGAATTGATACTAGTACTTTAGCCTATGTATAAATTACTAAGTTAGGTTTACATTAGAATATTTTTAAAATAAATGCTTTATTAGGTTACTGTTAATAATTAGACGCTTTACGCTAAAAGGATCTAACCAAAAAAAGGCTACTTTTAAAATATTGACATTTGAACTCTTCAAGAAGTAGATCAGCGTTTATTGATTATGACTCACTGAGATTTTGTTGTAATTCATTTTAATCCGACTTCAAAAAAAGGAGGAGGTTCTCAATTCTTACTTACTTACTTATCTTCACGCACAATCCCTGACGGGGTAGCCAGAGAGAACAGATCGCCAAGTGTCACGATCCTTACAAACCTCTTTCGCTTCTTTCAGATTCATTATCTTCTTCATACATGCACGTCTAGGTATCCGAGTACTCTTGACCCTACCCTCTTCGAGCAATTTTAAGTATATTTTTTTGTGTTTTACCTCCAAACATTTTTCTAGTTGAAACGATTTTTTATTTGAAAGGTGGTTCTTCTCATGAGGTCTCATATAACTTTGATCAAGATCTGACCAGTTGTTTTTGATTTATCCTTAATAATGCGTATTTATTTGACTTCGAATACATGTCATTCTCATTTTATTTATATTGAATACAGTTGTACAAAATTTTTAATGTCACCACTTGTATTCCATGAAAAGATAGATAAAGTTTATTTTTGAATACATAACTAATTTTTACCCAACTGTGAGTTAGACCTTGTTCGCGTAACTACGTCTAATTAATAAGGTGTAGTTTAAATGTGTAGTTATAAAAAAACAGATACGAAAAATATAAAAAAAACTAATAAAGCGACATGCAATGAATACCTGCTAGCCTCAACGCTGACATCCTCTGAAACTCGGGCTCTTGCAACCATTTCCACATCCGCCTGAACGTTTCCCTGCCCGATTTTAGCTTCGACCAGGGCTTTGGATTCCTTAATAGATCGCTAAGTGTTCCTTGAGATCGACACAAAACCCTTTGCGCGAATATCGCCTGAGGTATGGAGTACCGTTTCAACTCTCCGCTTATCCTTTGAGCCAACTCCTTAGTATTAATCTCTTCTGTGTCGTTCTGGACTTGCGCCTGTTGCTGTGCGGCTTGTTCCTCCCTCGCCAATAACGCAGCGTTGAGGTCCAAGCCCGGGCTCGGTAAAGGAGGTGTTGGGGATCGCCTCTCAAATGAGTTGGGCGACACGCTTCGTCTACTGTAAGCAGACTGAGGTGACAAAGGTTCATTGTAAGCTGCTGGAGATAAAGCAGCATAAGACTGCTGCTGCTGTATAACAGTGAAAGTACCACCGGCGTGGTAAGCAAATTTGTCGGATACTGTACTGATTGGGGGTAGAGGGAGTAAAGGAGTTAGGGTGGCGTAGGACGCCGGTTCGAGCCCCGGCGGGGTTAGCCGGCCGTTTACGGCTGAAAGGGGATGGAAGGCCGCGTCGCCGTCGGGTAGGAGGTCGGCTGGTGACAGTCGTGGCGGCGACGCGTTGCTCGGGGCGACTATGACGGTCAGCGGCGCGCGGTCTCTCACTCTGGTCTCGTCCATGGCGCGCGACCGGCGGCGACGGGGTCGCGCGGGCGACTGAATCACGCTTGCGCGGCGCACCCTTCCGTCCCCTCGGTCCACGTCCTGCAAACAGCCCCTATTTTTATCTCCCTCATACCAAACGTCTTATATCCGAGCACACGCAAACAAAAATGAACCTCACGCCAACCACTTAGAGTTTATGTTCAAATGAATTTTATGAAGGTGACGTGAACGCTCTCTACAATGCACCCTTAACCTACCCCGAGGCGCTACGAATTTATCTTTGTAACTAATCTCGTATCTGCACGTCTATTGCTGTTTATATTGTTCTTTAAGCAACGAAGTGACGGTTGAAAGCAGAAGTGTATATAGTTTTAGTTACATTCCCGAGGGTTTTGTATGATTGAAATGTCGTAGTGTGTAGGCCCCCGTTCGAGTACTGTCACTGGGCTATTTACGTGCTCACCTCGTGCTGGAACTCCCGGCCATTTGAGGGAAAATCTGGGTTTTTGTTGTAATGTTTTAATTTGTACTTTAAATTACTAAGGGCCGATTTTTTAATCGTCTGATAAAAGTTATTAATAGATTACAATACAACACAAACAAATTAAAAATGTAAGTTATTAAAATAACATATTTGAATAGTTTGAATTTTACATTCAATCGGGTTATAATATATTTGATGAATAATTTTTATCAGACGGTTGAAAAAGCAGCCCTTAATAAATATATATGACTTAATAAATATATATTCTAGAAATATATACGTTTTATGTGGTAGAGCCATGCTGCAGCTATATTAGTAGTGTGGTTGTAGCACGAATGGATCGATTCAACCGGGGAAGTACCACGCTCTCACAGAATACCAGCGTGATATAGCATCGTAACGCCACTGTGTTTCATATAGTGAGTGTAGAGAACCGGAGACCCTTTTTACTGGAAACGAGGCATTCCATCTTAGTCCTCACGGGTGACAACTCATCTGCATTTTGATTCGTAATCGAGGATAGATGTCTATGGACCATAGCATCCACTTACTATCAGGTGGATTGTGTGCTCGTCTCTTATCCTGTAAAAAATATGCCTTGTAATACAACGTCAAATATAAATATTATAGTTTTACCTAGTGAAAATAGAACAAAATATTTGGTTGTACGTAATGCGAATACTAAAGGATCCTACTATAAGATTAAATAAAACCTTATAAATCTATTTAATATAGTACTGGAGCTATCCCTTAAGTATTTCTATGGTATTTTTCTAACTATAATTAACTTTTAAATATTTGTCGACCTAAATTCGGGGCATGTACCTACATTATTAATTCAATAACTTTTGATTGCTTTTTACCAAAAGTATTCGGTGACTAACAGCCCTTGATTTATCATCCACATAACGTAGTAAGCTTAAATAATATACATAAAATGTTACGCATTAATAAATTATATTTTTTAAAGAATTATATGTGACAAATGAACACACTGTACACCTGATATTTGATGTGGCACATATCTTTCCTCAATTAAGAATCAAAATGTAGATGCTTCACCCCTGAGAACAAAGATGGAACACCTCCTTGCAAGTAAAACCTATTTCACGCTGGTATTCTGCGCGGTGTCCTTCCTCAGTTGAGCCGAACCATACATGCTAAATATCATTACTTATAATAAAAAGTCAATGTGTTTCAAATCATCGAGTGTTATTAAGAGACTTAACGTGAAATTTCCCTCCTTACCGTACATGTAAAATAATTATACTCCATTTAACGTAAAAACATCTGTTACATTAAAATAACTAGGTACTAAAAAAAACTATACAAAATATTTAATGCAGTGTAAGCCATAGCTACTGTCGACGGATACGCACAGGAGCCCCGCAATGACCCGAACCGACACCTGGCTCCGACAAAGGGATCTCTAGTGTTGTGTGTTATTTTAAACATTGAATATCGATAGAAACATCGTCATAGTTAAACATCAGTGTTGCGCAATGTTTTAGTTGCTTAATCATACTAGTTTTGCTAATCGATTGTGGACTAATTGACCAAAGATAGAATCAATCAAATATAGATCAGACATTAGACAAAAAAATGTGATAAAATCTGAAAGCTAGAAGATTCTTGGGTAACTTATACCTTACCAGAAATAATGACAGTTGAAGTTTGATGATGACGCATGCAAGAAATATGATATACGAATAATAAAGCCAGTTTCAGTTTTGTGGAATCTTAGATTCATGCATTCATTCAAGAAATCTTACCAAAGGTCAACTGCTGTATATAGACCTTATCCATAAATTGCCACATAGGATATTTGCCATAGCTGCCACGCTTGGCGGCCGGATTAGCAACAAATTTATTATGTCGAGCTCTCTCTGCTGCTCATCTCCTGTTGCAATTCCCTCTGTTTAAGGTTGAGGAATCTCTTACGCCGTGACATCCTATATACAGTATATGGTACGCACATCATATCACATCAACAGCCTTTTTAAATCAAGAATGCACCAACTGAAAAGTATTACTTAGGAAATTTACTTATTTTCACCGCTGGGCTGGCGTTTTTCTTTTCCAGTCGACTCGATCCAACTGTGCAGCAACTATAATACAATTACAGTATTCCTCTATCGCCTGATAGGTTGGCTAACTCTACCACGTGGCAGTTTAGTGAATTTTCATTAATTATCGAATAACTTTGTTTTATTGTTATTTATTTAGGGATATTTATTTGTTAACATGTTAATCCTAATATAACTAACTTAAAATCTATACATTTATTATTAATCTGCACATACTCAATGCAATATCCGAGGTGTGGGCATGTAAAATGCCTTGCGCAATATCGATATTGTATACATTTATCTTATAGGTCCTTATAAATAATTCCCTTGCCCCTCGGTTCCACTCACATTCCATTAAAAATGATGTAAATCTTCTATTACTCCACACGTTTCATCGAATAACTTGTTACTAAAATTCAAACTTTCAATATCGACTCTCAGATATTAAAGTGTCCCCTTACTACGCGTATGACCGCGTGTCGACTGTCGCCCCTATAACACGTCCTACCCGCACCGAAGTGTAGGTAATTTTCTCTTACGTCAGCAGTTGTAGCTGCAAACTACCGACACTCCCACCAGAGATAAGGTACCTGTAGAGCAATGCCACATATCTCTACTTTTCACACTTCGGGGCGAGAGTGGAAGTAAAACTTAACTACCGGTGAAAAAAACATGCAGTTAAGTTTATAATATTTCCATCACTTTCATCCATCTTTCCATCATTTACCTCAGTAACGCAGTGGCTTTTTTAGCTGTGGCAGTGCGGGCTACGGATTTGATTCCTTCCCATCACAACTATATAAATGAACTTTCATTATCACTATTGGGATGAACTTGCTTAATACCAGTATTTCTCTAATCAAGAATATTTTAGCCAAAAAAATTTCTGATGTTAAAATTTGTTAATTAATTTTGTTTACAGCATCGTTGTTAATTAACAAAATCAGAGTGTTACTTTGCGGAAATCCATTATATTAAAGTTGGCAAAAATTACCTTGTGTACGCAAGGTAATTTTTGCCAACTTTCCGCTCGATAAAATAAAAATGTGTCTTACCTAGTTCGAAGAGCACCTCCCGCCCTCCCTCAAATGCGTGCACTATCCCCGTCACAACTAATACCAGCACCACTCCTCCCAACACCACTACATTAGGAAAGACACACCACTGACAACAGTACTGTACTAAACAACTATGGCAACTATGGCTAAAATGAGGCAATCAATGGGGGAGGCCTATGACCAAAAGTAGACTTTTATCGGCTGTTATGGATGATTACAGATAGTGACAGATGAAGCTGTAAGAGCCGTTTCGGCAAACAGTACCAACATCTCTAAAATAAAAATACGCGTCGAATATTATAAGCCTCTTGTTTTTAGAACTCTAATAAAAAATAAATTAGCGCGTGTTTAAAAAAAGCTATGCCTCAAAACCAGTCAAGTGCGAGTTCGCGTAAGAATAATACCATCAGGATGTGGTGTACGGCCGAGGCGAGTAATTGTTCTCGTGACAGGATATGGCATTTACGTTACAATGCCTTCCGTTACCACATCCAGATATATTATAGGATATGGGGCAACCAACACGAGCACAAACAGTCCACCTGATGCTAATTGAATATTCGTAACTCAATGCAGTTTAGTGGCCGTAAACGCGGTTGCTCATCATGAGGTCCTGTGTTCGAATCCCAGGTCGGGCAAATTTTTTTTTTGGGTTTGAGAATTTTTTATTTATTTATTTATTTATTTATTGGACAACACAACAGATTACATCATGACTTAAAGCTATAACTTACAATAATAATAGTGTGATACAAGACATAATCTTTATACGTGTTATCACGGCTTGCCAAGATTGAGAAACAAACATTTTAAATAAAATTGCTTAAACTAACAGGCTCATAAATCCACCAAATCAAGAACTATAACTATAGCGAATATCAATCAAAGGGGGTGTGCTTGAGAATGTTTTTCAAAACATTTCTAAAGCGAACCAGACTAGAGTTGAAGAGGTCAAGGTTGGTAAAGCGAATGCTTTTTGTTTTTCAATTGAGTTTTTCTGTCAACAAATTCTCAGTAGCAGCCAGGAGTCAGCAAGTTGGGAGTATTTCAGGAGTATTTCGCGTGCCTCGGAAACCACGTGGTCGATGGTCCTGCGCCTGATCAGTCTGCGGTCGTGTCGGATTACTATCACATTGGACTATAATATTTAGAGAACAGAGAGTGCACCTGTGCTTGCGCATACACTCTGACACTATAATCCTATCCTATACAGACGGCTAGTCTCCGTTGAGACTGTCCGTTGTGACCGAAATTTATTGTGGAGAAAATTTTTTTTAGAATACAAGAAATTTTTATTCTAAAATATAAAATTGTTATAATTATATCTGTGGCTATTGATATCTGCATAAATGCCTGATTAGATTTTAAAATGCATATGCATTGTACTCATGAGCACTAAGATGA